AACACTGCTGAGATGCTTTACGAACTGAAGTAGGTCAGGAACATGGCTCTGATACCATGTTTCGAATGCTGCTACAATAACCCGAACCAGGAAGAGAAGAAAGAAGAAGAGAAGAAGAAGAAGGAAAAGAAGGGTCTGTTGAAATCTGATGGTTATTCCATTCAGTCGACCCCCTTAATAGTCATTAGATTCTAATGACATTTACAAAGACTAAACTGCCCTTACTTAAGTGTGGGGCAGAGTGTCTCTAATAAAACTGCCACATAAGCAAATCACTTAACAAATATAAGATGACTAAATTACCCCTATTCGGCTCACTTTAACAAGGATCTATGTTTTTTTACATGAATTGCTTTATATTTGACCTATTATTTTGCTTTGTCTCATATGAGGATAATTATCCAAATAAATAACCATTTTAAGGAGCATATGTTGATATATTCATCTTGATTTTCTGAATCTGTTCAAGGTGGCATCTAGAAGAGTTTGAATATCTGGCCTGTGAATTTGATTTTTTCATTGTCACAAGAACCTCAAATATATTTCTAAAAGTGGGGTGTATCATGTATGTTGATTTTTTCTCCTCCCTTGACCTCCCAATTTGGCAAAATGGAGAAGGCAATTTTCTCTTTTGGATTTGCCAATATGGTGAAGATCCAAGGAGTAAATAAATGCAACAAAAAATTCCATTTTTCTGTGGTTTACCACATTGTGTTGTCTTTATAAATAACTTAAGAACAGAAATATACAAGAAATTCTTTTAGCAAGGGGATCACTATCTCTCTATTCATTACTGACTTATTATGCCATAAATTATTTAACAAGTATGCATCAAGGAACCACGAGAGGATTTGTCTGTCATCTAGAACAATGTCGGCAGAAAAATTATGTTTTAGTTCATCAAATGAAGAAAACTATACCAAACCCCAAGTGTGAAAAGCTGGAGACAGGAAATCCCTTGCCACACCTGAATTTAAACTTAAGGAATCCATACACCGCTAATTGACTCATTGTGAGTGTTGCATGGTTCCTTCTCATTACAGCTAGAATGCAAATATGTGCTAAAAAGATTGAACAGCAATCTTTCTGGATTATTATATGGTTTTGAATTCCAAGCTCAAGAAAATTAGAGCACAAATTTTCTTATATATGGTAATTAATTCTTTGGAGAGAAGCAAAAACAGGCTACGGGAGTATGGGGTTCCAGGGATCTGTTATAGAAAATGAATGTCTGTTATTCCATAGAAAGCAAATCAACCTATAAAAAATTGGCCCATTACATGATTCTGATAATATTCCAGAATAAGCTATATTATTGTTCCTGCAACTGCTTAATAACTACTACAATTCCTGCAGCTGCCACTATTACCACCACTATTGTTTCTGCTGCTGCTGCTACTACTACTAGCACTCTTACCATTTCTATAGAAGTACCACAGTACTACCATTACCATGGCAGAACAGATATACTGCATTCACCACCATTAGTAGAGCTAATACTATTGCTGTTTCACTACTGCAATTGATATCAAGACTACAAGTACTTGTACCAATACCAACCACTTCTATTATGACAATCACTCATCATACCCCCTTTCAAGATCAACACATTTTAAGAAATCAAAACTCACAACCTGACCTATGTGAACATCAAAAGCTGCATTCTCTTATGATATGTAATGATCAGTTATTGTTGATTGAAGTAAATATATAAACTTATATCATTTACAAATCTGGAGAAGTTTTAAATGCAAAATATGCATTCCAGTTCCATTAGCAGRAAAAAAGTATAATATGGAAAACTGTATTTGTTTTGCGAAGTGGGGATCCTCAATGCCAAAAACCATTCATTTTGCAGATTGATGCCCTGTCCCTTGTTTGTCTATAATGGCAAATGAAGAAAAGTATAGGCATAGCCAATCTCTTTGCAGAGAACATAAAAATAGAGCTTCGGAGTAAAGGGCAAAAGAAAGAGATGGTAGAGAAGGATACCCTATAGGTTCTCCCAGAAGCCCCATCACCGCCACTTGCATGATAAGTGACACCTGCAGACAGCATAGGCAACACTATTCTGTGATTCTCAGATGAACTATGTGATTTCAATTAAGCAGGATAAAAAATGGAGACATCAACCTCTAGATCCAGAAATACAATCAACACCATAAACAGCTGCAGTGGTGGGCCATCGATTCACAGGCATGACGTGTTCATGAAGTCTTTGGTCACCTGCGGTGAATGGCGCTGGTGGAGGAGACCATCTGCTTTCTACCCTCAACGCCCCCATATTAATGGCTTCTCCTGGTGGACCAGAAAGATATGCATCCCTAGCTAATCCAACGGACCCATTAGCTCCATTATCTCCCTGGTAGTCATGCTTCTTTGAGAGAGATCTATTTGGAAAGAATGGTGAGAGATGAAGACCATGTTGATTGTCATCCACCCTCCGCGATGAGGATGAACCCAGAACCATGTCATCTGCATTCTCTAGATAGCTTTTACCATTAAAGTGACTCTGGCAGCCCAGGAAGAGCTTTCCTCCATTAAAGGGAACGTGRCTATGCTCTTGATTCCGATTATTCTCCATTTTTTCTTTTTCTATGCCAAATCGCGTCATCCTCTGTAAAGAATGGAAAAAAATATTCTTGCAGGAGTTCCCATGGTAAGTGAATTTCCCTTTGTTACCCAGGGCTGTTGCAGAGTCCCGGCCAGCAAAACTGGAGCTTCCCAATCCACCGTGTTTGGTTTCCTGAAATTGTGATTCTCCGTGCTGCAAACGATGAGCACTAGCCAAGGATGACTCAACAAGTTTGGGCCGTGATGATGGGTGAGGGGCAGAGGAAGAACATGGTCCGGGAACATCTGGGCTCCTCCTTGATTTAACCTGAAATGGCCCAAAACCAGTGACGGAGCAGGTTCCATGATTCATTGTTGGAAGAGGATGTTCCTCGTGGAACTTAAGGAGGCGATGAAGGAACAATCTCGTCCTAGTACTACAAATAGAAGTTGGAGTTCGAGATTCATGGGTGGAAACAGTGTGATGGTCAGGCAAGGGGCCATCACCTAACCCAGTTGTGCAAAGTGAGTTTACAGCATCTGGTCCCACTGGCAGAGGTGCAGCCATCTGGGCTGGTTTCACTGTGGCACTTGGGGGCGACGGAGTTGGTGTCAAGTGCAACCGGCGGATCCATGAAGAGCTGAAAACTCCGGCAGTACCCTGCTGATAGTACCAGTGATGGATGTTCCTCCGGCGACTGCTACTTTTACTTCCCACCGAGCTCTTAGGAGATGGCATTTGGCCTAAAAATGTAATAACTCAAGGCTATGCCAAGAAGAAGTTCCCAAACAACGAGCAGAGAAAATAATTGGGCAATTTCCTTAAACTACTGTATCCTTAGTGTTTATATTATTGTCCTGAATATCTTTACTTTTACTAAAAATTGACACCGCCGTTAATTACTACGGAAATAAACGAAATATTGAATTTGTCCTTCATTATTCTTCAAATTTAAAAAAATAATAAGTGAAATAATTGTTGATTCATGCCCAATTCTCTGTAGATAAATTAAAGGTATTATCCCTAAGCCCAATAACCGAGAACCATTATTTAATATTCACTGATAGATTTTATGATCAACATGCAGACAATGCAGGCATTGGTTTTGTCATTAAGAAATCTGATGATAGGCAGATCATTGCAGCTCAAGGGTCAGTTTACAGAGCCATTGACAGTTATGATGCAGAGTTTCGTGCAGTCATCAAGGGTTTAAAAGCTGCTATAGCATTGTAGTGCCAATCAGTGCGAGTTTTCTTAGATACTGAAGTAGTAGTAAAAAAGTTAAACCTTCTAGTAATGGAACGTACATGGATCGATCAAGTGCRTTTTGGACGGGTTTTACATTTCCATAGTCAATTTAGAAATTTAAAATTCATTTACATATCTAGAACTAAAAACACTTTAGCTATCTTTTATCTTATTATGCTTGTAAATATCAAAGGCATTTTACTATGAACATGTTACCTTGTACAACTTTACTCACAATATAAATTTAATCACCACTCTTTTGCTTTGAAAAAAAAGGGTGGGAGTGACCTTTGTCCCTCAATTCCAACCCAATTCACGAAGTGCTCTCTACTTAACAGCAAAACTTCTCTGCTTCAAACCAGTTTTTTAATCAAATAGCAGCTTTCACATTCGTGCTCTCTCTCTCTAAAAGGCTTCTACCAAACTTCTACTGCAAAAACATTCATCTCATGGGATCTTAAAAACTAGTATCCATAATTCAAATACGACTGAAGCAATAACAGACTACCAAAATTATGTCCACATTCACCTTAAGAAGCGACAGCCCCCTTCTTCCTTTAGATCGCCTTCACGCTCCAATTATACTTCCTGATACAACTCGAAGGGAACCCGCAAGTGGCGCATGTGTAGGGGTGGCAATTTTTCACCCAACCCACCCATTTACTTGGTGAGTTATGTGATCAAACCATTACAGACATAAATATTAATTCCTTAGCTTTTTTTTTAATTTTCTTCATTTGAACTAAATAATTTATAATTAATACATTAATTTTTTATTAATTATTGACTGAATTTAGTTTTGTCTTGAATCAATACACTTCACCCAATATAAATCCGAATCAATTTGACGTGAGTCCGAACCAATTTAATACGGTCCGACTCGAATCCGAAATATACCCCTAGGCGGGATGGTTTGGAACCGCTTGCTTTGCCCGGTTTGGGGTGTCCGGTCCAACCAATATTCACACAGCTCGACTCGACCCAATACAAACCGATCCGAGTCAACCCGAATCCAAAACGGTTCTGGGCGAGATGGTTCGATGTTTGTGTGCTTTTCCCGGGATGGACCGTCCGCTTTGACCAATATCTACACAATCCGACCTGAATCCGGACCGATTTGCTTATGTTGACCCGCTTCGGGTCAGTCAGTTCGGTCCCAAACCCGTCCACAAACCTGATATGGGCTGGTCCAAGTCAATCCACTATTGTTTGAACCAATCCGACTAGACTGATCCAGAACTAAATGGTTCAACCACCCTTGATGTGATTAGCTCGAAAATAATCCAATTAGATAGTTCAAGTTGGTCTGACCGATTTGAACCTAAGTGGTTCGGTCAAACCCAAAATCTGAACATAGTCAAATGGCTTCACCACTTGTGTAAAAATGGCATACATGTAATGTGATTTGAACATTCACCACTTGTGTAAATAGTAACTATTATTACCACCAAACTCTGACCAACTTATTTGTTAAGAGAGAGTTAGTTTGTTTTTTAAGTCCATAAATATAAGATTAATGGGTTTGGACGGGTTGGATCAGTTTGAAGTGGGTTTGGGTTGAACCCAACCCACTTAATTTTATATAACTGGGTCATTAATGGGTTGGGTTGAAACTCAACCCAAACCAAACCCAACCCAACCCAACCCGCCCAATTGCCACCGCTACGCATGTGCTCTTTTGAAGGTGAAAGCTATGGCACTAACATCTCACATAGAAGCTTCCTATACCTTTTCTCATTGGCGTGGTTGCTCAAAAACCTTAACTTTCGTTGTACTCAGATATGAGATCTGATTGCTCTGTCAAAAAATCTTACGCAGAAATAGCAGTAAAGATACTTAGATATGAACTCAGATAATTTTAAAGCATAACGAAAACCCAAAGAGAAGGGAAAAACCCAGATCAGACGTAGCAACATAAAATACAGAGAAAAAGGGGAAAATATAAAAAACAAAGAAAAGAAAAACAAAACAAAGAGCTGAGTGAAGAAAGGTTTCTCGTTAAAAACAGAAGACAAATCTTGTAAAGGCATTCTTGCTCTGGTTCTTTCCCTCGCTCCTTGCTAGCCATGGCCGACCTTCAAATGCAATGGACAACGAAAACTGCAGTTTTGTTAATTTGCACTAATTAGCCGGAGATTGGGAGTGAGAAGGAATTTAAAGAACAAAAAAAGGAAAGAACCGACAAATAGAGCGAGTTAGTGTTGGATTGATTAAAAAACTAGCGAACAATAAGGGTAGCCATGGCCGACCTTCTAACGACAGCTTTCACATTTGTTTCATTTTGCTAGTAGTAGATATATCAAAATCATTGCCACTACTCCAACTTCCAACAACGATAGTGAATAATAAGGGTATTTTAGGAATTTTAAAATAATTACTACTCACATTATATCATATGTAAACGAAGTGTAACGAAAAATTAATGATAATGAAGGTTTTAGACAATTATTAAAAAACTTAAAGATACTTCAAGATAATAGCTAAACAGTAAATGTGAAGTTARTCAATTAATTAAACAATAGGAATAGTTTAAGAAATTTGCCCAAAATAATTTCATATAGAGGGCAATAGGATATCTCATTTTTGTTTCAATTCTTTTSTCATGTTTTGGTTGATAGCGATAGTGGTCCTCTTTATGTTCTTTTTGTTCTAAGCAAACAAAATAAATGTAGATGAGTTGTAATCCAATAGGTGATTCTCTTGCTTTGCCTTGGCAAAAGCCTTTCGCCTTTTGCTAGAGTGCTGGACCGAATCTGAATCTGAAAACGTAGATAGAGATGAAGAAAAAGAGAGTAGTGTCACCAAGCGACCTCCAAAAACTCTATATATCCCCCTCTTACTTCCACCATCCAGTAGCAAATGCAAAAGAAGAAGATTAATGTGGCGATTGCCCACATTTTAACGATTTTAACGAGATGACATCTCCTGCAACAAGAAATTTCTTACGACATCTGATGCTGTTCAATCCAAGGTGGTGTACGAATTGAGGAGAGCAACCAGATAATCCTTGCTGGCAGGGGAGCCAAGCTACAAGAACGAGGCCGCACTTCAATACCTATGATCAAGGAAGAAGAAATTAGAAGCCCGAGAAGTTATCCCCGGGTAAATACTCCGAGGTTGTTGGGATGAGGTTACCTGTCGAGGTATTCGGGATAGAGTCTCATTCCCCAACAGAGTCATCTTCCTTATTCCTCTTTATCCGTAGTTGTGCTCATCCATGTGACGTGTAGTTGACGTGGCTGAATGGAGAAGATGGGGGGCCACCATAATAGCATAGCTCGGCCGACGTGGTCAAGCTTGGATGATGTGGCCGGGCGATAACTGGGCAGCCACGTGTCTCGCAGGGCCAACTCAGCCATGACCCGAACAACATCCAACAGAAACTAAAATAATTTTTTTTAACTGAAATAAATTAATTTATATTAACTTCAACATCTACGGTTAAAATAGAATTTAAGCAAATAAATCATATTTATATTCAATAATTTCAACTATAAATTAAAAAAATAATATTCAAATTTATTATTTTATAAACTAATCGATTAAATAATTTATCAAATTCACATTTATATAAAAAATGATTTTTAATATAAAAAAATTCATATCTATAGAAACAYTAATAATAGTATAGTTATTTTAATACTTAAATTTTATAAATTTATACATGATATGTATCTTAATTTTTTTTATAAATTATTAATTAATATTTTAGTTTTAATTAAATAAAAACACATTTATTATTTACAAAATAAAAAATACTGTTTACAAAATAATGAAACATTTAAAAATACAATATAAATTGAATCCATCAAATCAGATAATCTACATTTGTTTCAAAAATTGATTTTTTCTTTCAGAAAATTTATAGAAATAAAATATTAATAATAAAAATTATTTTAGTAATTAAAAATTATGAATTTGCATATGATATGTATCTTGATAGATTTGATATATTTTAAGTTAAGATTATATATTTGTATACATTATTAATTGATATTTTAATTTTTATTTTATAATAACATATTTATTTTTACAAAAATAAAAATATTATTTACCAAACATTTGAGAATTAATCTTTTAATTGACTTTTTTGTTAATGTCAAAATTAAAAATAGTAAACTAGAAAATAATTGATATAATAATTCAAATATAATAATTGTGTTTGTTTTGTGTCTTCAACTTTAATAAGAAATAAAATACTAATGGTTTTGTGCATGTTTTAATTTAAAAAAAAAATCTATATAATATGTGCATTGGACTCTTCATTGATTAATTGTCAATAAAGTTGTATGATATTATTAGAATATACATTTATATATATATGCATTATTTGTGGCTATTTTGACATTAAATTTAGTATTATTAATATATTTATGGAATTTACAACATTTTCCTAGCATATCCAAGGGTTTCTACATTTATTTCCTCTGTTTCCAACTGTTTTCAAAATGCACTTGTATCTATATCCATATTTGAATTATCAGATATAATACCTGATATTGATACTTTAATCTTTGCATTGAACAAATATAAAGAACAAATGATGGAAATGAAAGAGGATAGGAATGTCCAGATAAATTGGAGAGTTGTAAATATATAGAAAACTGAGTTGGGCTTGTCTTTTTCTCATCCTTTGGGGAAGAAATGCAAGTACATTGGTACTACGGGAAAATATTATGTGGACGAGATTGTAGCTTGAAATTGGAAAAAAAAAGAGAAAGTTTATGATTAGAGTAAGGATTGGGTCTTACTTATGGTGTCGTTAGGGGATTATAGTGTTTGAAATTGGTTTCCTTGTATTGTAGTAGTCCTGAAAGCGTTGAGAGGACAGAGAATTTGGATTTGGGCTTAATTTGCAAGCGAATGATTTTCTTTTGAAAATTTTCTGACCTTATAAAATCTGTGGTAATTTATATATACTTTGATTTTCCGTTCATGTGTTTGCCTGGATGAACCGTTGAGGTATTAGCCCCATGGTTTTTAAAACCGAACCGGTCAGGGCACTGTTTTCCGGTTTGGTGGTTCAATCGTCTAGATTGAGYAGTTCGACCTGTGATGTCATAAATAAATACAAAATAAAAATATTTATATATAATAAAAAATAACATAGAAATTTAAATAAAATACAAAAATACACAGAAAATATAGGAAAAAGAACAACATATGAAAAAATAAAAATATCTAAATATAAATATAATAAAATACAGAAAATACAAAAAAAAATCTAAAAAATACTGAAAATATTCCAAAAAATACAAAAAATATAGAAAAWTTTCCAAAATTTATAGAAAAAATACGTTAGCAAGAATATGTAATGAGCACCTGTTTTTTTTTGAAGAAGAAGAAGAAGAAAAAAGCATATCAGTTCAGAAAAAAAATTATCTGAACATATTTTGAGAAGAAAACATAAATTTCATATCAAAACATATTTTGTGAAGAAAAAAAAGAAAGAAAATTGATTGATTCAGTTGAATCAAGAGCTCCCTCATCAATCAGTAAAAATAAGAATTAAGGAGTTAAGTGTCCCTGGTCATTTTCTTTCAATCTCAAGTTGTCTCTAGAAATCCTACCAAAGAAAAAAATCTCTAGAATAATTAATTCATGYTTACTAAACAAGCATATATATTACCATTCTAGTAGGTCCAAGGAATTCAAAAAATCAATTAAATCACAAAAAAAAAATTATACCTTTAGGGATTCGCCGTCGGTGGGCTAGGGTAGTCCACCGCTGCAAGTCGCTTGCCGTCCGCTGCTGTAAGTCGCTCGCCGTCCGCCACTGCTGCAAGTTCGCTGCTACAAGTCGTCGCTGCTGCAAGTCGTTCGTCATCCGCCATTGCAAGTTCATCGGTCGTCGTCGGTGTGTATTGCCGTTGGATGCCGGAGTTGATGGCTGTGGTAGATGGTAGGGTGTGAGGGTTGAGACTTGAGAGGACTGAGGAGTGAGGAGTGAGGAGGGAACTCAAGAACCCTAAAGGCTAAACCGAATAAGGGACTGGGGATTGGGATTTGAAAATCGTGGGATATAATTGGCATTTTATTTTTTGTTTTTATTTAAAACATTAAAAATAAAAATATTAACCTGCGAACCACTGCTCGGGTCGAATGATTTAGCGGTCTGACCGTCCGAATCAATGGTTTTTTTGACTTTTCAATTTTTTGGTTTTTAGTAAAATTGGACCCGGATGGCTGACCGGTTATCGGTTTTTCCAGTCCAACTGTCTGGTCCGGTCCGATTTTCAAAACCATGATTAGCCCCAATAGTTCTGTTCTTTTTCTTATGTTATTTTTGCCGGTGAATGAGTTACTCGCCGGCGCCGCAGAAAGATAACTGAATAATATACTTAAAATGGTCCTAGCATTCTCAAAAGACGTTTAGAACAATGAATTAAGATTCATCTTATCCAGAGAGGAACTTTACACCACGAACGAATTGGAGTACAGCTTTTGATTCTGGACCTTGAGAAAGACACGACAAAAGAAAGGAAGAAAGGAACGGGAAGAACATTCACTTATGATCATTGTGGGTGGGTGGGTTGATCGGGCTCGTTTGGTGTATCTTGTTGGGAAGATCTTATGGTAGCTTTGACAGTTAAAAAACGTATTGAGATTTTGCATAAAGATCTGAGTAGTTTGAAGTACGTTTGACAGATACATGTATTTCCGTGTATTTTTTCGTACGAGAATAAAACGCGAAAAGCTTCATTTGAAACTTCCCGAAATCAACCCAAAAATAGGTTTTTTGTATCTTTTCAGCGCTCCGGCTTTTAGTAACTAGATCTTCCATGAGTCAAACGGAAAGACCGCATGGAAAGACATGCCAAACAGGCCCTTAATCAATATACATGTTATTTTCGCTAACTTCTGCATCCAAAAGTTCTCAGGACCGGACCTGACTTAACACTTATAAAATATTTCATATTATGTAACATATGATACATTGTTTATAAGTACATGTATACCAATCTGAACCTAAGCCAAGCATAAAGTTTCGGGCCTACATTTGGCCCCGAATCGAGCTAAATGATCATCCTTTAACTTTAGGCTATGTTTGGTTTGAAGGAAAAGGTAGGAAAGGGAAGAGAAAAACAAGAGAAAATATGCAAGGTTTATAAAGGTTTCCCTACCTTTTTCCTTCAAACCAAATATAGCCTTAGGTTGTGTTTGATTTGACAGAAAATAAGAGAAACRAAATTATTTATGTCGTGTTTGGTTGCATCGCAAATAAATTTGCACTGGTGCAAAACCATGACAATGCAAATGATTTAACTGTAAATTATGATCTATTTTTGTTTCAAATTTTAACTTATTTTGTTTGACTGTAGTACAAATGAAATAAATTAAGATATGAAGCAAAATAAAGCAAAATCCAAAACAAAATTAAAGAAGAATTTACATTTTTTTTCTTCCATTTACACTCCCAAGCAATCGTACTAGTGCAAATAAAATTGCACTGCAGCCAAACACAGCCGTATGAACTTTTCCTCCAAAGGGTGGGGTAGCCCTATAAATAAGACATAGATGATGCACACGATGATTGCTACTTTGCTAGGAAGAATGTAACAGTGTAACCCTTCCAACATGGTAGAATCCAAAGTTATGAGTGCAGCACTTGTGGCAAGAGCGCATTATTTGTTGTCAACAACACTCTCTTGTCGGTTTGGATCCGGTAGGCACAATGTTGTAAGCATGTTTAATAAGTACTTGAAATTATTTTTTGACACTTGTCTCTTAAAATATCCCCACCCTATTTATGAAAAAGATTAAAATCCACTTTTGACATTTGTCAAAATACTTATTATGTGCTTATCTAATGTGCTTCCCTGGTCCCCTCTCTTGCAGCCTCATAATAGAACATGGTGAAAAATAAGTTGGTAACATTACTTGAACTGCTTTTTAATCTTCAACCCAATTTCCAGTCGTGTATAGAAAATAGATACAAGTACAGAAATATTTCTAATACAAAAAACGAAATCTAAATTGTGGATGAACATGTCAATATTCCGCACACATGAGACCTCATGATACGTTGTATCAATGTGATTTGATAAGTCTAGAAAGCCCCAAACCACAACCATCACTAGCAGTTCTGTATCTCATTCAAAATCATTGACTAGAAACATAATTGGGCCAACAGGCAATAATGACCCATGTAAAAACTGATGTATTTGAGCGTAAGGCAGAAATTGCACTAAAAAGACATAATATTACAAATTTCAAAAGCTTTTATATTTTGTCTTTTGTCTATGTATTATGCTCAAAAGCTTTCACCAACAAAAATACAAACCCCTTTTGATCTAAATTCAAGAAACTCCACCTTACAAAAAAAAAAAAAAAGAAATTCCACCTTATGGGCAGTTGGAAATACGGCCAACTAGAGCTCACTTTTGCTGCAWGTGACCTGATTTTAGCTCGGGCTGTTGACAGGAATGAAGAAACTCCACATGGGATCCGTACAGACCAATAGTAGAGAAAGTGGTTGATGTTAACATCTTAACATGGAGTACTACTTCAAAAGTGAACTATACGTGGAGCCTCCTCATTCGCAGCAGCAGCCCAAGACTAGAACGTAGCTAACTGTAACAGAAGTGATATATATATATAAATATTTTTCGGTAAACACAGGATAAGTAACAGAAGTGAACTAGATCGGTGGTAGTTGCACTGTAATTCAAACAGAAGATTTGTTAGGTTGTTTTGTTTCCGTGGCTAGCTCAAGGGTGATACTGTCACCCGTAGTACCCTTGTATCTATACCACCTAGCGCATATCAGAAAATACCCAAAATTTAGGGTCCCTAAGGCAGCAACCAAGAAATAAAAGTAGTCCAACCTTCCCTCGTTAAGATCCTCCGGCAACCAATTTCCGGTTGCAGCTCTGGCCGTGACCTTGTGAACTACGGACACCAAGAGACCACTCAAGTAACTCGCCCCTGCCATGACACAGAAGAACATAGACCCTGCAATGCTTCTCATGTTCTCTGGGAACTGTTTGTAGTAGAATTCGATTTGGCCAATCGAGCCAAATGCTTCAGTGATGCCGGCAAGTGCGAGCTGAGGGATCAACCACAATCCGGACATGGATGAAATAGCGCCTCCTCCTCCTGAAGCAATGCCTAGCGTTGGATAGGTAAGAGCTAAGGTCCTTCTCCTCTCTTCCACCAAGGCAGACAAAACCATGGTAAGAACTGAGAGAACAACTCCGACTCCCATCCTCTGGAGTTGTGTAATGCCACCTTCTTTGCCTGTAAACCTTCGGAGGGTGGGGACTATGATGCGGTCATAGAGGGGTAGCCAGATGGTGAGGCTAATCATGGCAAACACAATGTAGGAAGCTGCTGGGACCTCGAAGTGGGTCCCCCGGAGGCGTCTATCAGACTGAAGGGCTTGGATGACTCCGTAAGTATGTTGTTGGACGATGGCTGCATAGTAGAGGATGCCTGAGGCCCATATGGGGAATATTCTTATTAGACATTTCACCTCCTCCACTTGCTGCATTCTGCAAAGCCTCCATGGGTCCATGGCTGAACCATCTGAGTTGATCTGGTCATCAAGGGTTATGATCGCGGCTTTGTCCAGGAAACTAGTCACACAATCATGTAATTAGGTTCAAAGCTTCAAATTAAAGATGATTTCAATTTAGACAATAATATCTGCTCTGGTCGTTTTGGGGTTCACAGGGTTTGGATCTCCTATTTGGTCATATTTGAGACCGATATGGGCAACTTTTGTATCATCCATAGGGATACTGGATGTCTGAATCTCCTCACAAAAAGTCTGTTGGCATTTTGAAAGCATTGGCATCCATTCACATATGGGCCCATATATAGGCATCTGGTTGGTGGTTGGTTTTTGGGGAGTGCCAATTGATTTACTCCTCAAAGCGTGCACATCAGAAACATCTCCCATATTTGCATATTGTCATTGGTGAAAGATATTCCCAATATACAGTGGGACGGAGCTATGAGGCACGCTTTATGAGGAGCAGAACCCAATTTGCATGGGTAATATCTCCCCATAAATAATAAAATTCATGAACAGAAGATATTCCCAATGCATGGCTGAATGTGCTATGAAGTTGGTTTGAGGAGCCCTGTGTGAGGAGCAAATCTAATTTCAATTTTACAAGGGACAGGGAATTCTGTACAAGTAAAGCTTCTTTTACTTGTCACATGTCTCATATTTTGAGCCTAAATTTGATGAATAAACCTATTCATGAGCCAGGCTTTACGTTATTTTGGGTTTGGCTTTAAGCTTGGGTCCATTCAAATTTTGGTAAAAGGACAAGTCTACAGGGTGTAAATAAAAAGAATTTTGATCAATCAAACATTAATATTCTAATTCAAATTTGATTTGATTTGACTGATTTTAAGTAATTAATATAAAATCATTCAAATACTTACTGAATTTAATCGAGTCATATCCAAATTTGGATAGGATATTAATCACCTAATATTCAAATTATACGAATAGGATATTTGAATTTTACTGATTATAATATTTAAATTATACGAATTTATATCCAATCACAAGTAAACCAAAAGTGTCCATTTTGAGTTCACGTCAACTCCCATTTTGGAGCGACCCAGCCAAATGTAAATTACGCCAGTGTTCTGAATAAAAGACAATATATTTTCAACTTTTGATCAAAACTAGAAGGGCCGTCCCGAGCTGTGTTAAGAAGATGCACATGTTATGTTCAGTTCCTGAAATATTGGTTGTGCGCCTGATTAATTAATTGTCGGTGAGATAAAGAGTTCCATGTTTTTGGGGTTTAAAGAGTTTCACAAATAGTGGCATGTTCGCATTTCATTGGCAAACCGGATTTCCTGCCCACTACTCTCTATTCACACTATTTGGATTCCAGATTTCTTGCCCATGCGTACCCACAATACACCACCCCCCGTGAATTGAGAACATCTCCCCCCTGCATATTATTATATGYAGAGGATGAGATGTTCTCCATGTGTGGTTGTGATAAATATGGGTAGGGTTCTCGTGGGCAGGAGATTCGGGCTTTTCTATTTGTCGTGAATTGCAACCAACATCACTATCTTGTATTGTGAAATGTAGGGGTGGATTCGAGTCGAGCTGAGCCGAATAGTACTAGGCTCGAGCTCGGCTCGATTCATTTTATATTTTATTATAAAAATATTTAGAAAAAATATTTATAAAAAAAATTATATATAATTTTTTTATTTTATATTTAAAAAATTAATAATTATAATATTTTTATTATATATATATATATATATAGCCTCACGATCGAGCTCGAGCAGCTCGTGAAAAGCCTGGCTCGTTGCCACCCCTAATGAAATGTCAGATTGTAGTGTATTGTGGATAGGGTGCGGGTAGAGAAAGGGAGTAGGGTATTTGGATTCTTTCGTTGGGGTTGTTCCAATTTTTGGAGCAACTCTAATCGCAGCATATGTGAATTCTCATATTTTAGCTACCAGTTTGTTTTGCTAGAGATTGGATTCAGCTCTTACAAGGCCATGCTCACACCATATTTACAGCCACTCATGAGTCTGAATATGCTCCTCACGCCAACCTCACATCATGTTCTAGCTGCACGTCTTAGAAATTTCTCCTGTACGTACTTGCATGTTTCTTATTTATGAGAGATGTTCTCAATACACAGTGGGATGTGGCTGTGGGGAACAAATCCCAATTCACTTGCAAGTTGCAACGACGTATTGGGAATATTTTCATACTTGTATGTTTTTCTTCATGGGGAGATATTCCCCATGCACAACTGCAAGTGGCTGTTAGGACAGTGTGAGCACAGTCTTGTGCTTAYTGAATCTGAATTCGTTTTGCTAGCTAATTAGTAGCTCACATTGGATTTATGGAATTTGGATCTCCTGCCCACGAGAACTCTGCACATGTTTATCACAGCCATACATGGAGAACATCTCATCCTCTGCATATTATTATATATACAGGGGAGATCCGGAGTCGGATTTATGACCTCAAGCCTAATGCAATTGTTTTAGAAATGAAATCGGATTAGCTGCTCACACTGTTCTCATAGCCTTTTCAACCATGTATTGGGAACATCTCCCCATGAATAAAAAAAATACAAATATGGAGATATTCCCAATACATGCCTAAAAAGGGCTCTGAGAACAATTTTGAGATGACTGAATCAGCCATCCTTAGAAACGCCCTTATGACATATATTTAAACTTTAACAACACCATTAACGTCCTAGTTAGTCCCTTAAAAAGTAGAGTAAATTGCTGAAACCTTCCTTGAAACTTCTTGTTGTTGCTTAAACCAACCCTGAAGTTTAGTAATTCTAACCACATCCCCTAAACTTTCTAACATAGTTGCAAGTAGATCCTCTTTGTTAGAATCTTATAAAAAGAGTCATAAAAATGTCCAAAATACTCATATATTTACTTTTGACCAAAATGTTTGTTTTCTAAATTTTCTCCTCATATGAATGACCGGCCCAAACCCTTCTAATATCTTTTTCTGAAATAGATTTATTTTCCAAAATTGCCACTCRTATCCATGGCTCAAAAGTAAAGCTACAAATTTTAAATTCTTTTTCTTTTTTGTTGTTTATAAAATTTGTATTATTATTTTTTTCTATAGAAACCAGTTTCAATAGTAATTGTATGGGTATTCTGGACATTTTTTTGTCTTTAATAGAGGATTCTAAGGGGAGGGGGTCTACTTTTCAACTTTCACACTGTGTCAGAAGGTTTTTGGGAGGAGATTGCAATTACCAAACTTCAGGGTAGGTTTAGTAACGGCCAGAAACTTTAGGGAGATTTCAGCAGTTTGCCCTAAAAAGTAATAAAAATAGTGAAGATAATGGAAAGTTCAAGTAATAGCTCGAGTTTGATACCTGAATTGCTCTGTGTGAGGAAGATGGGAGTTGAGAGAACCAGCGGGAAGATGGTTGAAGAGGGAGAGGGATGGGTTTTCTGGCAGCTTCAACCTTCGTTTCTTAGTTGCAGCCACTATGACCTGTACCACACATGTCAAGGGACTCCCCTCTGGTCTCACCTTCACGTAGATTCTCGAACCCATGAAGAAGAGTACGCAGGATGAGAACATGAGAAATGCAGGGATCCCTAATCCAATGGCCCAGCTCACGTCGGACTGCACGTAGACGATGGCAGTTAAGGACGCCATCATGGCGAAGGTGAAGGTGAAGTAGTACCAATTGAAGAAGCTGTTGATGCCCCTTTTTCCTGATTCAGTGTTCGGATTGAACTGATCGGCTCCAAAGGCTAAGTTACATGGCCGGATACCGCCGGCTCCGATCACTAGGAGCCCAAACCCGCTTAGTAGGAACATCATTTGCCCTCCCGTCGGTCGGACGCAATGTCCCGTCTCATTTTTCCCACAGTGTGGAGGGTGCAATTTGGAAATGGCTGCGGTTAGCGTTATGACAAGCAACCCCTTCAAAAAAAAAAAAAAAGTAAGGAGGCAGCAGCGACAGTATGTTTTCTAAGAGTAATTAATATAAAACATAGCTAGAGTATGAAAAGTTGATGATAAGAATTGTAGTATACCGCGAAGGAAGAAACGCAAGCGAATCCGAGCGTCTTGTAACGTCCAAAGTAGGTGTCTGAGAGGAAAGCTCCAATCAAGGTGGCCAAGTTTGTGGTACCATTGAAGACGTTGATGAGCGTCGCCGCCGACACTCTTTTCAGGTTGAAGACAGTGGTGAGGTAGACCATGAGGTTGGATAAGGTGCCGAGGGTTCCCAGCTTCTCGAAGGTCTCGTTCCCTGCAATAATATCACATCCATATATTAACGAGTGAAAGATGCATGGAATTAACTATGATTAGTGAACTCACAACCGTGAAGTGTGGACTAGCTAATTAATATTATTTAATAACAATCTCTCTAGTCTCTGTATACCTATTATAAAGGGCATGGCATTAATTCCTCTGTATTTGATCTTGGGCTCATCATCAGTTGTAGAAACATGCCGCTGGTTCTTCTCCATGATTCTCACGGGGAAGAACTCTGTTCGTCCCTCCTTGAGATTCTTCAGTGTTCTAGTATTTAAGCCAGTCTTTCGCCAGAGACATTATCTATTGCAATTTGCAAATCATATCCATCGATCTGTCCACAGACCACAGTCCACTCACGCATTGTATAAACAAATGAATTGATAAGGGGTTGTTTGTCTGTACTCGCAGCTTTCCAGTCTTAGGGATCCACGTGTTCACAGAATTGAGGAAAGGTCAATAGTCATCACTCCATTAGCATCCAAGGGGCCATGCAGGTGTAAGAGGACAAACGTGTGGTGCTGGAACCTGCATGTATGATTTATGTTGGGGAAAGAGGACAAACATTTTTAGGGAGGGAAATTAAAAAAAAAAACAGAGATAATATATCACATGAATGTCAGATAGGGTGTCAATTGACCGGTTTTGGATAGCATGCATCCGATCCAAACCTTATTAAATCGGATTTAGATTATTCATTATAATCATTAGATTTGGTTAATCCAAAATAAATTGGTCTATATTTTTATTGGTCTAAATTGGATATAAACTAAATTTCCAATAATCTGATCATGAGGCCAAACCCTTGTCTAATTTGAAATCGAACTTAAGTCGATATAAAATCACTTTTGCAAAAACACTTTTATGAAAGCATTTTTACGAAAAATACTTTTATGAAACCACTTTTATAGAAGCTGTTTTATAAAAGCACTTTTGTGAAACTTCTTTAATAAAAGCACTTATACGGAAGTACTTTTATAAAAGTACTTTTACATAAGCACTTTTATGGAAATACCTTTACAAAACACTTTTACAAAAGCACTTTTATAAAAGCACTTTTATGAACAAACTTTTACGAAAGCACTTCTACAAAAGTACTTTTATGAAAACATTTTTATAAAAGCACTTCTAAGAAAGTACTTTTACAAAAACACTTCCACAAAAGCACTTCTACGGAAGTACTTTTATAAACACTTCTACAGAACTACTTTTATGAAGTACTTTCATAAAATTGCTTTTGTAAAAGTGCTCAAAAAAGTGCTTTTTCAATGCTGAAAGGGTATATTTTTGTCATTTTCAGATTTTCTTCATTTTAATATATTTTTGTAATTTTTTTATATGTTCTAGCTTTTTATATAATTTTTTATGTTTTATTCGGTTTGGATTGAATCCAATGCAATCCATTTACATTTTAGTGGATTAGATTGGATTTGGACTAGATTGAATCCAATCCATTTGTAAGTGGACTCACATTGGACTGGATTGGGTTAGACCAAACCCAGTAAAATTGACACCTCTACCAATTGATACACAACCCAACAATTTGCCAAATAAAACTCCTCGTTTGGTATTTGCTTTTACCCCTTTTATCATGCAGCAACAATGTTGTCGAGTATATATTAGGGTAATAAAAAACAAAAATTAATTAAAAGCTTGATCTTTGGAAAAACCTCCTTACCTCCCCATGTTTCAAATAATTAAAATTCTGGCCAAGGTTTTTAAAACCGGACCAGGCCGGATGGGATGGTCAGACTAAAAAACATGAGAATGGTCACCTGATTAATTCCATTTTACCCCAAAACCACTTTTTTTTGCCAAAAATCGTTGATTTGGTCAATAAACTGTTGACCCAGGTTGTCGAACCGTTAACACAAACAACGATTTTTTGCTTTTTTTTTATTTTTTTGTCAAAACGGACCATTTGTTCGGACGAGACGATCAGACCACTCAACCCACGAATCAGGTCCAAAATGGTTCCCTGTCTGATTCGGTTTTAAAAACCTTGATTTTAGGTAAAAAATGGGTCAACCTCCGGATTGATTTTTAAAACAACACTGCTTAAATAATGTAATTCATCGTTTTAGGATAATACAATGGATCTTTCATGAAGTTATTCATAGGTATTAAGTTATTGATAGGTATTGTTCGAGTCATGGCTGAGTTGGTCCTGAGAGATATGTGGTTGTTCAGTTATCGCCCAGTCAGTCTGGCCATGTCGGCTTAGCTCGGCTAGCTCTGCGGCATACATGGCCTCCGCGACCTAGGCCGGGCTACGCTATTACTGTGGCCCCCCATTTATCATCTCAGCCATGTTAGCTACACGTCACATGAATGAGCATGACTACGGATAAGGAGGAGTAAGGAAGACAACTTTGTCGGGGAATAGGACTCTATCTTAAATACCTCGGCGGCCAACCTCATCCTAACAACCCTGGAAGCCCAACCTGACTAGGACACGGACCTTCGGCTATAAAGAGGTACTCCATGCTCAAGGTAAAAGATTCCAACTTGTGACACCCATACTGCTATTCTGCTCGGCCCGACCATTCATCATTTCCTATTGACTTGAGTAGGGCACACCGCAGTAGGGCACCTCCATGGTTTGCTCTTGCGAGCTCGACAACCGCAGTAGGTCCACCTCCATGGTTTGCTCTTGCGAGCTCGACAACCGCAGTAGGGCACACCGTACACACGCACCGTGTAAGCCGCACTACACAGCCATGCTACAAAATCGCGCTACACAGCCGCACTACATAGTTGCGCTACACAGCCACGCTCTGCCGCCATCCTACACAGCCACACTACACAGTCACACTACACTCACTGCATGACACATGTGTAGCTTGGCGCACCTCACTAACTTAGCTGATCTGTGAATGGCCTGAGCCCATGATGCATAGCTCGGCAGCACATCACCGACCAAGTAGTTCGATTCGGATGTCGACGACCGAGCATAAGGTGGAGAAGAATGCCCCCACCCATCAAGGCCTGAGGGCGATCATCAAACTCCACTTGCCCAACCGACTGTCGGTCAAAGCTAGCCGAGGAATGACCAGCCCTCGAAGAGCCCCAAAAGCTCTTGAGACTAGAAATTGAGCATCCCAAAGATGAGAGCTCRGAATATACTCCAGCCCCACTAGCCGAAGATTGAAGATATCGGTCAACCCTAGACCTTGGCCAAGGTAAGGCCGAGGAACCAAAAAAAAAAGAATGATGTATGTATGCACACAAGTTAAGAACAAAAAAGTTTCATTAAGTTAAGCCATCAGTGCAGCAGGTTAAAGCTTGGCATACTGAGCTATTACAAGAACAGGAAAAACAAAGAACCCTGCGGCCATTCAATCCTTGGCGGGGGGATCAATGGCCTTGTCACCATCCTCACCATCATCATCCCCATCAACGAGATTGTTCGAAGCAGGTAGAGTGCCTAAGTCATACGCCTCCTAAGTCTGCACAATCTCACTCAACTCTGGGCAGTGACGCAGAGCCCTCCACCGAGGCCTTGTACCGATCTACCGCCTCCTCAGCAGCCTTCTCCGCCTTTAGCTCGGCGATCTCTTGCCTCAGGCCACGCACTACATCCACCTGCTTAGCCAATTGGGCCTTCAGCTTGGCCACCTCCTTCTCCAACGCGGCTGACCGCTCCCCGACCACCCAAAGCTTGGCCTCCTATCGACATCAGAAAGCCCTTCCTCGACATCCCAGTCGAGCTAAGCCCCCGACTTCGGAGCTCGGCACACCATGGCCGAGCATCACAGTGCCGGCCTCAACACCGAAGCTCGGCCTCCACCAGGAATCAAAAAGCCCTTCCTTGGCATCCGGCCGAGCTAAGCCCCCAACTCTACAGCTCGGCACACCATGGCCGAGCATCACAATGGTCTCAACACCGAAGCTCGGCCTCCACCAGGAATCAGAAAGCCCTTCCTCAACACCTGGCCGAGCTAAGTGATGTAGCATTTCAGCCGAGGAACGAAGAGTCCTTCCTTAGCTCCACCAGGAAGACACAGATCTCAAAGCTCAGCTCGATGCCCTGCCAAGCTACACGACCGCGCAACACTTCGGCCAAGCACTCCCCCTCCTCGGCTTTAGAACTGGGGGAGTGGTGTTCGGATTCCAAAGTTAGAATTCTTGGAGTTCTGCAGCCGACGATTGAATGACTCCCCGACCACAATCCACATTTTACGGACCTCACATTCTAGCGAACATTGAGGAACATCAAGTGGACTGGATGCTCAACCAGACTTCAACTTGGAGTTCCTCAGCCGAGGAACAAAAGATCCTGCCGCACTACACTTCGACTGAACACTTAATGCCTCGACTTCTGAACTGGGGGAGTGGTGTTCAGGTCATGGTTGAGCTGGTCCTAAGAGAGATGTGGCTGCCCAGTCATCACCCAGTAGCCTGGCCTTGTCAACTTATCTCGGCCAGCTCCACGACATACATGGCCTCCGCGACTTAGGCCAGGCTACACTACTACTGTGGCCCCCCATCTTATCCTCTCATCCACATTAGCTACACGTCACACGGATGAGCAYGACTATGGATAAGGAGGAGTACGGAAGAGAACTCCGTCGGGGAATAGGACTATCCCAAATACCCCGGTGGTTAACCTCATCCTGACAACCCTGGAAGCCCAATCCGAGTAGGACACGGACCTTTGGCTATAAAGAGGTACTCCATGCTCAAGGTAAAGGATTCCAACTTTTGACACCTATACTGCTATTCTACTCGGACCAGCATCCTTATACCTCGGCCCGACCATCCATCATCTCCTACTGACTTGAGCGTCGAAGTACCAACCCGGAGAAATCTCTTCGGGCCTCTGACTTCTCATTTATTGATCACAGGTTTTAAAGTGCTGCCTCATCCTTGTAGCTCGGCACTTCCCTGTTGGCAAGGACTATCTAATTGCTCTCATCAATTCGTGCACCACCTCGGGTTGAGCAACATCAGATATAAATAATAAGATTTTTAAAAACTTCAAACCACATCATTATGGCAATTTTTAAAAAGGGAGTGTATTTTTATATTTATTTAAAAGATGAAGAGAGGGATGTGCAGAGGTTAAAATATAAGAAAATTTTTAATTATTTATTAAAAAAATAATGGTGGTTTAAGTAAGTTTCCTTAATTATTAAAAAACCAAGCTATAGTGGCTGGAATCAAGACTGATTTTGGTGCTGCTTGGCAAGTTAGTAATGTCTAGCTTAGATGGCCGAAAGATGTAATGAAAGATTTTTAGGTGCCGAAAATGGGAAAAGATCAAATTTTATTATATCAAACTTTGAAAAACCCAAAAAAATCATACAAAAATACCTGC